AGTCTGTATTTCATTTAGTGAAGCCAAAATAGATGGATATGTTCTCTGCCCACATCCTGATGCAAGCATGAACATTAGATATAAGCTTGGATGTTTGGATTTGGTGTGGGGGAGGCTACTACTCTGAATCCTAAGATATTGACAAAATTACAGTTGTGTATATAGGGTGGACAAAAAGATTTAAACCAACATTAAGAGAACAGAGAAGCTGAAGCTAGAAGCATACAGCTGAAGAGCCCAGGATTATATATACTAGCTTTAGATAAGTGTGAAGGGAGTGGAGGGGCCATCAACATCACCAGAATTCAGTATATCTCTCCCCATACTCATGTGTTCTTTTTTCTATGTTATATTCAGTCTCAGATGAGTTTTGATGTAGTGATGACCCTCAGTATATTTTCCTAAGTAATTCTTGAAAATAAACTTTTATATTTGAGTCTCATCAGCAGCTTTTATGTTACTTTATCAAATGTGGATCAAGCCTCTGATTGGCTGAGTTTTAATCTTATCCTTTTCCTTGATAGAGTGCGTAAAGTTAGTATCACATAGCCACATAGAATTAGCATGGAAAAATGTTTCTCCCAAGAAAAATCAGGATGTGGTTATTAGAAAAAGGATAGTATAAGTTTGATAGGCAGGGAAAACAGACACCTAAACATTTTATGATTCTTTTAATCTACTTTTTCTTATGTCCCAGCAAATCATACTCATAGTTGGATCGTAGAATTAGGGTTATAATTACATGTGTAAGTTGTTATTTTAGACCTTCTGAAAGCATCATCCAATTTGATAGGGATGAGATCCATTGTTTAGAGGGTGGATAAAAATGCTACATGTCTGATTACAAAATTGTTAAGAGTATGTTCTTAATGCCTGAATGATTTGTTGTCGTCCAGTTGCTCATTCATGTCCACCTCTTTGAGATCCCATGGACTGCAGCATGCCAGGCTCCTCTGTCCTCCAATACCTCCCAGAGTTTGCTCAAATTCATGTCCATTGAGTCAGTGATGATTTCTAACCATCTCATCCTCTGCTGCCCACTTCTCTTTTTGCCTTCCATCTTTCCCAGCATCAGGGTTTCTTCCAGTGAGTTGGCTCTTCACATCAGGTGGCCAAAGTATTGGAGCATCAGCATCAGTCCTTTCAGTGAATATTCAGGACTGATTTCCTTTAGGATTGACTAGTTTGATCTCCTTGCTGTCCAAGGGACTCTCAGGATTCTTCTCCAGTACCACAATTCAAAAGCACCAATTCTTTGGTGCTCAGCATTCTTTATGGTTCAACTCTCACATCTGCACATGACTACTGGAAATAGCAAGTCTTAATTCTTTCCGAGATTAAAGAGGTGTGGTCACTAGCATCGAATGAAGAGGTTAAGTCAGCGAATTTTCTGGGAGTCAGTGTTCCCTCTCCAGTGCTCTGTGCTGTCTATGTTTCTGAAAAATATGTCATTTAAGAAAAATCTCAGTAGGGGTCTTGCAAGTCTTACTTTCATCCCACAATTGGCCCCATTATGGGTGATTATAACTGATTATCCTCAGTTACGGATTTATTTCAAAATAGTGAAATAGTCTAGTTCTTAAGCTCTGGAAATGATATTTATCTTAATGGAAACATATTGTTTGCATGGTTGCCCAGAATTATCAACTGCCAGAGCAGACTGTGGATACACAGCATAATCATTGCTCATTTTGGAGATGGCCACAGGATATCCATGTGGGAGAGTCTTCCTTGTGCTAATATAGTTGCATTGTCCAAATCTGTCACACACATTTGAAAAGAAATATTTGCCGCTTTATCACTTTAGAATTTAACATAATGAACAAATGAAAGAAAAATAAAAGAAAAAAGGGGGTAAAATCTTTAAGTGAAGATGAAAATTTTAAATAGTATAAAGTATTAAATTTTAAGTAGAAATATATTATTAGCTTTATTATCCTTTCTAATTAATCCATGTATGGATATTAACACATAAGGCCTTAGATGTCCTTCACTCAGCGTGTCTCTATTTTATTTATTTAATATTCCTGTTTTTAGATATTTTAACTTATTTTGAAATAATTGTTTCCGGTTTTGTTGAAAATTAATTGACACATATCACTGTATAAGTTCAAGGAGTACATCATGATGGCTTACTTTATGTATATGTGAAATGATTATCACAGTAGGTTCAGCAAGCATCCGTCTTCTCATATAGATATAGTAAAAAGAAAAGAAAGATCAAAGGGAAAACATATTTTCCTTGTGACCAGCCCTCTTAGGATTTTCTCTCTTAACATTTTTCTGTGTGTTATCCATCAGAGTTAGCTACAGGTATCCTGCTGCACTTTACATTCCTAGTACATATAATATTTACCTTATAATTTCAGATTTCTGCCTCTTGATGATCCTTCCTCCTCCTTCTCCCCTCCACTTCTGGTAACCATAAGTTTGATCTCTTTTTCTGCGAGTTTGGTTGGTTGGTCTTTAGTTTCTCTATCTGACTTACCTCATTTCAGATTTTGCCCATGTTTTCACAGATGATAAGCATTTCTTCTTTTTAATCACACACACACACACACACACACACATATACACACATACACTCACACATATATCACAACTTCTTTGGCCATTCATCCATCAGGGGGCACTTAGGTTGGTTCCATGTCCAAAATTATAAATAATTCTGCTGTGAACGTGGGGGTACAGATACTTTTCCAAGTTAGTTTTTTCTTTGGTGGAAGTAGAATTGTTGGATCATATGGTAGTTCTGTTTTTAATTTTTTGAGGATCCTCTGTACCATTTTTCATAATGGCTGTAGCAATTTACAGTCTCACCAGCAGTGCAAAGGTTCCCTTTGCTTTGCATTTATGCCAGCATTTGTTATCTCTTGTCTTTTTGATGATGGCCATTCCAACAAGCATGAGGTAATACTTTATTGTTTCAATCTGCTTTTCCCTAATGACTAGTGATGTTGAGGATAATCTCACATACCTGTTGGCCTTCTGTATATCTTCTTGGAGAAGTGTACATTTATGTCCTTTGTCCAGTTTTTTAAATTAGGTTATTTGGTTGTTTGCTGTTGCATTGTACAAGTTCTCTACATATTTTGAATATTAACTCCCTGCTTGCACCATTTTTTTTTTTTGCCATTTCATAGGCTTTATTTTTACTTTGTTGATGGTTTCTTTTGCTGTACAGAAGTTATTTAGTTTAATGCAGTCCCACTTGTTATTGTTGCTTGTGCTAAAGCAGGTTAGAAATATCAGATCCAAAAAGACATTACAAACATTGAGTAGCAAATTAATGTAGAATGTTCTCATGTACCTTTCCCCAAAACCTCTATTATAACAACCTACAGTGCTACTATAATTATTGAACCAGAAAATTAACATTGAATTTTACCAGTGTTTCCACTAAAGACCTCTAGCCTTAGAGTAATGAAAATCTAAGTGAACAACAAATCTCTAGAGATACTGAAGATGTATACCTTATATTTAAAAACTGAGAGAAATCAAAAAAGCAAAATAGACAATTTAATAAAAAATTTTAAGATCCCCTGTGTCAAAAATGTCATAAATAGACATGTACAGTAGGAAAACAAGGGTAATTTTTAACCTACAAACTGAGCAATACTGTGGAGTTAAAATATAAGTATGTGTCTCTTTACTGTAGTTTATGAGCTTTTAGATACAGGAATACTTTACATTAAAGACTTTTTAAACCCTTAATCTTATGTTTTGCTGTATGATGAGTACAAATATTTGCAAAAAAAATCCATTACTAAATGAATCAAGATAATTCCTCATTTGTATAAAAAATTCCATGGTATTTAAATTCTAAGTAAGTTTTTTAGAGTTTCAACTCATACTCGAAGAGGAAAAGTTAGACAAAGGAGTCTTTCCAATTGAGGGAGCTATAACCACTCTCTGCATGACAGGAAAATAAAATGGGAAATGATGTTCATAATCAGGTGGGGATTGTGTGTGAAGAAGCCTTAAATTTGATGTATTCATTCATTCAGTTATTCATTCACACTACATAAATTTAGTTCAATTTGCTTATGATGCTCATCTAATTGACTCTCTTTAGAGTAGTTATGTATGAGATGTGCTTTCCATCGCATTGTTTGCTACTGTAGAGACAGCATAAGGTCTAAATCCTGTGAGTTTTTACAGAGTTTTCTGCTCTCTCTTATCCTTCCTGTCTAAAAGAAGAATAGGTACTCAGTTATGGGACAAAGGCACAAAAGCCCGAGTGTCCTAAGGGAGATGTAATTGACTCACTGTAAGGGTTTAGATTCAGATGGCTCACACTGTGCCTCCATTTCTGAAGCAACAAACATTTGTCTATGAATCTAGGTCAAGTCCAGCAGATAGAGTACTCTTATGCGGCCTGGAAGAAGAAATGGTTTCTGAGCATCAAAATGCCCTTTGAGTGCGATGCACAGGTGTCAGAAACATGAGGACTCTAAAACCATAGTGTTTAAAGGAAATTCAGACCCTAGTGCATCCATGACTGTACTAAACTAGATTCCAAGGTGATGCGTAACCAGATGATGGTAGAAATAAATGCTTGCTCTTTAGAGGGTGCTTTCAGAAACTAGTATCAATTACAAATTTGAAACCAAAATTATTTTAGAAAACAGCATATGTAATATAATTATATATATATAATAATTATAATGTAATATAATATATAATATAATGTAATAATATTATATATATTATATATATTATATATAATATAATATAATAAACAAATTTAAATGTAAGACCAAAGAAAGTTCCATATGTTTGAATAACTGTGTTAATGCCAATACATCAAATCCATCGATTTTTGTTGAATAAAAAAACAATCTTTTATAGTACAGATTCTACTCAATTTATGCAAACAGCTACATCTCGTATTATGAAGGACTTACCTGTGAACAAAACAGAAGCGCTGCTGATATAATTTAAAGAAATTGTTAATATTTTATAACTTCTTAGCAATAAAACTATGTTTCTTTCCTCAGAATAAAAGCTTGAAACACAAACTCTTGTTTGGAAACAAGCTATGTGGCCTACGTGCAGAAGAGGTGAGTAAGTTTTCCTCTTATAGCTTTAACTGAATAGAAACAGTATTAGTGCCAGCTATTTTTTTTTAACCCAGACATCTGGTGACTCTGTTCCCTTAAAACATAACTGCAAACATTGGAATAAGAAAATAAAAACACATTTTAAACTTTTAGGTATTTTGGATGTTTTAACATTTCATCACCAAATAGAAAAAATGTTAAGCCACTTAAGTGTTCCTTTCCTAAGTGATATTCTGGATTCCTTCCTTAACTGGATTATTAAGAGTTCCTTACTAGCAAACACCTGGAAGTCCATGAAGTTTTCACTTTTGGTGCCCTCTATGTGGTGATAAAAAATATTCCTGCCAGTGCAGGAGAGGCGGGATCTATCCCTGGATCTGAAAGATCCCCTGGAGAAGGGAATGACAGCCCACTCTAGTGTTCTTGCCTGGGGAATGCCATGGACAGAGGAACCTGGCAGCCTGCAGTCCATGGGTCACAAAGAGCTGGACATGACTTAGCGACTAAACAACAACAACAGCACTGTGATGTCTGTACCTGTTGGAGTGACACTAGAGTGGCAAAATGAGGATTCTAGGACTGAACATAAAATCAAAGAAACAAATAAATTCACTGGTTCTATTTGATGGACAAAAATATTGTCTCATACAGTATTGCCCCCTAAGTGGGGGAAAACGTCATTCTGTTTAATCCAGGTTTAGTTAAAATCCTTTTTTTCTTTTCCTGATCTTCCAAATGAATCTATAATGTTGTACAAATATAGCTCGCAGTCAGTAGCCCTTAGTGACAGTAAAGAGAGTAGAAATAGTGCCATAGTAAGTGATAAACTTCGAGGAGAGGGGACTGCACTCAATGTGTTAACTTGGAGCCTCAAAGGGGCATACAAAAAGACTAGTTGTGCAAAAAAAAAATAATAATAATAGTAATAATAATAATGATGATGATGGAAATGCCTGTGAATGATAAGGCCCAGGCATGTTAGTCTTCAGTGAAAACCAGATACTTATGAAAGGAAGGGGGAAGGAGGGAGGTTTAGGTAGAACAAAAACAGTCTAATACAAGTTTATCCCTTTCCCCATAGCAGATTAGAAGCAAGGCACAGAGCTGGTGAACAACTTCCGCCATCTCCTAAATATGGAGCCACCTCTTATTCCAAAAGCTGTTTCCTGATAACTGTCACCTTCTAGCAGAAGGAACAGGAAATATTACCTGTTGACTCACAAACATTGCTCTTTAGGAGGCTATCTAGAAATAATGGCACATATGTCCTTGTATCCTATTTGCCAGAACTAGGTCACAAGCCTAGCTAACTTGTAGAAACCTGGAAGAGACCATTAGGTTGGTGTTCATGTGCTCATGCAGAATTTGGGGTTTTTTAATTAAAGAAGGTGAGAATACTCCCTGGTGGACATGTATAAGTCACTATTGAGAGTCTAGCATGCAATATGATTATCCATTTAAATGTCTTTACAATAATATATGTGAAATGAATAGAGCTGTTAAATACATTGAAATTGAAAGGTTGATGCCCCATAAATGAAAAATCAAACTGAATGGCATATAGATATGAGCCTGTGTATTGTATTTTCTCCATTGTATTTTTCTATTTGGATATCAGTAGACTGTCATGTTGTTTATATTTGCTAAGTTTCTAGACATATGGCATACATAGTGTGCAGTTTCTGAATATTACCTTTAAGAGGGTAAGCAAATGGAGCTGTTTTGAATAAGGACCATCTGAATTGAAGCTATATTCTGTAATAATTTACATGTTCCCAGAGTTCACACAACACCCATGTACATGAAAAAGAGGTGACCCTAGGAGAAGTTGTGTGTGGTGTTTAGAAACAAAGAGAAGAATGAAAAAACAACAATGACGACCTGGGTCTACCTATAGTTTTTAGCCCCTTAGTTCAAGAAAGACTCATATATTTTCTTCATCTTAGCTTCTTAGAGGACATATTATTTCTGCATTCTTATTTATGAATTCCTAGAGGTTTCATTTTCTTAATTCAACAAATCAATGCAGTTGGCTCCTGAAGGAAATGTCTGTGAAAAATTGTTTCTAATATTTGAACCTTTCAAGGGTGTGACATTCACAACATTTTCAAGATTCTACTCTAACTGATGATGCTTCCACCATTAGATGATGATTTAATAATTATAACACCATCATAACACAGTCCCCCATTTTGCCAACTAAAATAATTTGCATGGTTGGAAACATTCTGAATATAAAAGTAAACTGAATAACAGTTGCAGTTTGATAACTGAAAGACTCATAAACATTCAGTGAATGCTTAGAAAAGTACAATATTTCAAAAATATAAGTGGGATTTACTTATTAAAGATGATTTTCATATCAGCACTGTTTACTAGGATATAGTAATTCCATGAAGATCATGTAATTTACTAGGTACTATGGCCAGCTACTTTTATTTTTTGGTTTTTAAATAGGCTTTATTTTTTAGAGATGGTTTAGGTTCATAGCAGAATTGAGCAGAAAGTTCAGAGTTCCCATATACTCCTGCCCCCACACATAACCTCCACCATTATCAACGTCCTCCACCAGAATGGTAAATCTTTTATAATCAATGAAACTATACTGATGCATGATTATCATCCACAGTCCCTAGTTTAGTTTAGGGTTCATTCTTGGTGGTGTACATTTTATAGATTTTGACAAATATATGACATATATCCACCCTTACAGTATCATATAGAATAGTTTCACTGACTTAATCTGTGGTTTAAGAAGCCCTTCAGGTAATTCTTGTGTACATTAAGATTTGAAAACCATTTCATTACAGAATTTTTAAAGCTAAGTTGAAAAAAATAGTCAAGAAATTAAGACTGCATTAAATTGTGCATCTAAACAGAAGATATACTTGATTTATCCTATGCTCTTATTTTATTGAAGTATAATTGATTTTTATTAGTTTCAGGTATATAACATAAGCATTCAGAGTTTTATATTTTATTTAATAATGGCTATATTTGCTTGTGCTATGCAATATATTCTTGATACTTAACTTATTTTATACATGATAGCTTTTATATCTTAATCCTATACACCTGCCTTGCCCCTCCCCATCACCCCTTTCCTGTTGGTAACTGCTAGTTTGTCCTCTATACCTGTGAGTCTGTTTTTTTTTTAATTTAGATTTATTTGTTTTATGTTTTTTTGGTTCCACATATAAGAGGTAACATAGAGTGTTTGTCTTTCTCTGTTTGACTTTAATTGTATATATTTATACTAGCATCCTTTTTATCCATTCATCTTTGATGGACACTTAGGTTGCTTCCATATCTTGACTATTGAAGCAATGCTGCTATGAACATTTAGGAAGATGTATCTTTTTGAATTAGCGTTCTTAGTCATTTGAGTAACTCCCATAGTGTTTTCTGTAGTGGTTGCACCAACTTAAAGCACCAGCAACAGTATACTTGGGTCCTTTTTTCTCAACATCCTTAAGAACATTTGTTGTTTGTAGACTTTTTGATGATAGCCATTCTGACAGATGTGAGGTAATATCTGTTTATAGTTTTGATTTGCATGGTCTTGATAATTAGCAATGTTAAGCATCGTTTCATGTCTTATAGTTTCATGGATGGTTTCTTTTGCTGTGCAAAACTTCTTAAGTTTAATTAGGTCCCATTTGTTTATTTTTGCTTTTGTTTCTTTTCTTTTGGAGACAGATCCAAAAAACAATGCAATGATTCATGTTCTGCATATTTTCCTCCAAAAGTTTTATAGTATTTGATCTTACATTTAGGTCTTTAATTCTTCTTGGTTTAGTTTTGTATATGGTGTTAAATAATGTTCAATTTAATATTTCACATGTAGCTGTTTTGGTCAGCTAAATAAAATTGAATTTTTGGTCAGCTAATAAAATTGAATTTTATTGAGGTATACTTTTCATAGAATTAATCCCATTTAGGTATATACTTTGAGGGTTTGACCAGTATTCAAGTTAGGGGCTTCCTTCATAGCTCAGTGGTAGAGAACCTGCCTGCAATACAATGAGTTCAGTCCCTGAGTTGGGAAGATCCCCTGGAGAAGGAAATGGCAACCCACTCCAGTATTCTTGCCTGGAGAATCCCAGGGACAGAGGAGCCTGGTGGGCTGCCGTCTGTGGGGTCACACAGAGTCAGACACGATTGAAGTGACTTAGCAGCAGCAGCCAGTATTCTTGCCTGGGAAATCCCATGGACAGAGGAGCCCTGTGGGCTACAGTCCATGGGGTCATAAAAGAGTCAGACAGGATTAAGTGACTAAACAACAAAAACAACTAAACCTCCCACTTGATATTTTATAATCTCTACCACCAACCCCCCCAGCCCATGTCAACTAGTAACCTGATTTACATCCCTAGTCTTTTGTCTTTTCTGTGATATCATATATATGGTATTATACAAAATAAATGACTACATAGTATAAGACATTAGAAATCGACCCATATTGTTACATATTTGAGACTTTATTTAAAACATGGCTTACTCTTTTTTAGCATTTCACTTCATGGATGTACGATAATTTGTTTACTATTCACCACTTAAGGGACATGTAGGTTAATTCCAGCTTTTGACTCTTATGGATAAAAATACTATAAGCATTTATGTATATATTATCATTTCTCTTGTGTGAATACCTACAAAGAATTTCTGTCTAATTTATAAGAAAGTATCAACCAGTTTCCCAAAATGATTACAGCATTTTGCATACTCACTAACCTGTTTTTCAAATATCATTTCATGTAACTGTGATAATATATTTGCATGTATTCTTTTTAATCCTGCTGAAGAATCAGAACCTATAATCTTAGATGTAGAAAGACAAATAAGTGAGGTCCTAATGTTAGAATGTTTGAAATTCGATCTGCTCTGGAAATGTAGAAATGCTTAATAAGCTATCTGTGGCTCACCAGAATGTCTTCCAAACAGTAGACAAACATTTCTGCTGGGAGATATGTCTTTCTTACAACACTTTTTTGTTTGTAATAGTCCTCATAAAAAGCATTATCCTAATAAACACTGTTTATTACCTTAACAAACACTGTTCACCTTAACTTCTTAGCATTCTAGCTACTTCCCTCACCTCCTGAAACATTTGCTTGCTACCTCCCCTTTATATTCAATATATAATCTAGATATAAACTTGACTGTCAACTGAAACTCATGTTATATTTAATCTTTAAGAATTTATAAAATTAAAAATAAGCAGTAAAACTGAGCAATACATATCTGCAGGTATACGTATAGATACGTCTCAGTTCAGTTCAGTTGCTAAGTTGTGTCTGACTCTTTGTGACCCTATAGATTGCAGTGTGCCAGGCTTCCCTGTCCATCACCAACTCCCAGAGCTTGCTTCAACTCATGTCCATTGAGTCAGTGATAAGATCCAACCATCTCATCTTCTGTCATCCCCTTTTCCTCCTACCTTAAGTCTTTCCCAGCATCAGGGTCTTTTCCATTGAGTCAGTGCTTCCCATCAGGTGGCCAAAGTATTGGAGCGTCAGCTTGAGCATTAGTCCTTCCAGTGAATGAATATTCAGGACTGATTTCCTTTAGGACTGACTGGCTTGATCTCCTTGCAGTCCAGGGGAATCTCAAGAGTCTTCTCCAACACCACAGTTGAAAAGCATCAATTCTTCGGGGCTCAGTTTTCCTTATAGTCCAACTCTCACATCTATACATGACTACTGGAAAAACATTAGCTTTGACTCGAGGGACCTTTATTGGCAAAGTAATGTCTCTGCTTTTTAGTATGCTGTCTAGTTTGGTTATAGCTTTTCCTCCAGGGAGCAAGTGTCTTTTAATTTCATGGCTGCAATCATAATCTGCAGTGATTTTGGAGCCCAAAAAATGAAGTCTTTCACTGTTTTCCGTTGTTTCCCCATCCATTTGCCATGAAGTGATGGGGCCGGATGCCACGATCTTAGTTTTTTGAATGTTGAGTTTTAAGCCAACTTTTTCACTCTCCTCAAGACACTCTTTAGTTCTTCACTTTCTGCCATAAGGTTGGTGTCATCTGCGTATCTGAGGTTATTGATATTTCTCCATGCAATCTTGAATCCAGCTTGTGCTTCATCCAGCCTTGCATTTTGCATGATGTACTCTGCATATAAGTTAAATAAGCAGAGTGACAATATATATCCTTGACATACTCCTTTCCCAATTTGGAACCAGTGCATTGTTTCATGTCCAGTTCTAACTGTTACTTCTTGACCTGCATACAGGTTTCTCAGGAGGCAGGTAAGGTGGTCTGGTATTCCCATCTTTTGAAGACTTTTCCACAGTTTGTTGTGATCCACACAGTCAAAGGCTTTGGGGTAGTCAGTAGAGCAGAGGTAGATATTCTTCTGGAAATTTCTTGCTTTCTTGATGATCCAACAGATGTTGGCAATTTGATCTCTGGTTCCTCTGCCTTTTCTAAATCCAGCTTAAACATCTGGAATTTTATGGATCACGTTATGTTGAAGCCTGGCTTGGAGAATTTTGACCATTGCTTTGATAGTGTGTGAGATGAGTACAGTTGTGTGGTAGGTTGAACAATATTTCACATTGCCTTTCTTTGGGATTGGAATGAAAACTGATGTTTTCCAGTCCTGTGGCCACTGCTAAGTTTTCCAAATTTGCAGGCATTATTGAGTGCAGCACTTTCACAGCATCATCTTTTAGAATTTGAAATTACTCAACTGGAATTCCATCACCTTCACTAGCTTTTTTCGTAGTGATGCTTCCTAAGGCTCACTTGACTTCACATTCCAGGACATCTGGCTCTATGTGGGTAATGACACCATCCTGGTTACCTGGGTTATGAAGATCTTTTTTGTATAGTTCTTCTGTGTATTCTTGCCACCTCTTCTTAATATCTTCTGCTTCTGTTAGGTCCACACCATTTCTGTCGCTTATTGTGCCCATCTTTGCATGAAGCGTTCCCTTGGTATCTCTAATTTTCATGAAGAGATCTCTAGTCTTTCCCCTTCTATTGTTTTCCTCTATTTCTTTGCATTGATCCCTGAGAAAGGCTTTCTTATCTGTCCTTGATATTCTTTGGAACTCTGCATTTAAATAGGTATATCTTTCCTTTTCTCCTTTGCCTTTAGCTTCTCTTCTTTTCTCAGCTATTTGTAAGGCTTTCTCAGACAACCATTTTGCCTTTTTGCATTTATTTTTCTTGGGGATGGTCTTGATCTCTGCCTCCTGTACAATGTCATACATCTCCATCCATAATTCTTCAGGCACTCTGTCTATCAGATATAAACCCTTGAATCTAGTTTCAGTTTCACTGTATAACCATAAGGGATTTAATTTAGGTCATACCTGAATGGTCTAGTGGTTTTCCCTACTTTCTTCAATTTAAGTCTGAATTTGGCAATAAGGAGTTCATGTACCACAGTCAGCTCCTGGTCTTGTTTTTGCCGACTGTATAGTGCTTCCATCTTTGACTGCAAAGAATATAATCAATCTGATTTCAGTATTGACCATCTGGTGATGTCCATGTGTAGAATCTTCTCTTGTGAATTTGGAAGAGGTTGTTTGCTATGACCAGTGCGTTTTCTTGGCAAAACTGTTTGCCTTTGCCCTGCTTCATTTTGTACTCCAAGGCCAAATTTGCCTGTTACTCCAGGTATCTCTTGACTTCCTACTTTTGCATTCCAGTCCCCTATAATGAAAAGGATATCTTTTTTGCGTGTTAGTTCTAGAAGGTCTTGTAGGTCTTCATAGAACTGTTCAGCTTCTTCAGTGTTACTGACTAGGGCATGGACTTGTATTACTGTATTATTGAATGGATTGCCTTGGGAATCAACAGAGATTTCTGTCATTTTTGAGACTGCATCCAAGAACTGCACTTTGGACTCTTTTTGTTGACTATGAAAGCTACTCCATTTCTTCTAAGGAATTCTTGCCCACAGTAATAGATATAATGTTCATCTGAGTTAAATTTGCCTATTCCTATCCATTTTAGTTCACTGATTCTGAAAATGTTGATGCTCACTCCTGCCATCTCCTGTTTGACCACTTCCAATTTACCTTGATTCATGGACCTAACATTCCAGGTTTCTATGTAATATTGTTCTTAGAGCATCAGACTTTTTACTTCCATCACCAGTCACATCAACAACTGGGTGTTGTTTTGCTTTGGGTCTGTCTCTTCATCCTTTCTGGAGTTATTTCTCCACTGATCTCCAGTAGCATATTGGGCAAATACCAACCTGGGAGTTCATCTTTCAGTGGGGTATGCCTAGGTGACTCATTCTGTGTGTGTGAATTTTGTGGGGGAGGGTTGAAGAGAGGAACAATAAGCCACTTTCTTTAAATATTACCTTTTAAACAGTACACTTCTTTGAACAGGTTTCAGTTTTTTCTTCCTGCCTAGAATAGCTGGCTGTCTGACTCCCAAAGCAGAGATTAAGCTTTTCTTTTTCACTTCTAGACTAGTTGAACTCTTTTTTTTGTTTGGCTGCAAAGTTCATTCTTGCGCAGTTAAAGAAATTTTAATCTTGGCATTTGAAAATGTAAATGAAATTAAGTCTCTAATTCATATTTTTATTCTTACAGTCAAAAAAAGTTCAATCCCAGCTGAAGGAGCTTCGTTATGGGAAGAAGGATTTATTATTTAAGGTAAGCATCTTTCTTACTACTTCCTCCAGCTGGCTGGTTCAATACCTAGACTATCTATAATACTATTTAGCTTACATTTAATTTCCAGGTTTCAACAGGAATTAGAGTTATATTTGACTGACTTGAAGGTTCTTTCATTTTACTGCCTACTTAATTAATGGAGATAAATACAGATATGGTTTCCTGGGTATATTCTTAATCAAAGGCAGACTTCATTTCAAGGTGTTTAAAGTCTTTTTGTAAACTTCAATTACTTTAATTCAACATTGAGGAATACTGCCTTTCAGAATGCTTACATTACAGTGAGCATATATTGAACAATTTTCGAGAGATCAGGTTCACTGGCGACCTACGTTCTTGACTTTCAGAGATCCCTGCATTAGTCTTTTTATTATAATCTTCATATTTAATCATGGTTGATTTTTATCATTTGTACTTTCCTTTACGAGACTGTAGGTAGACATCTATCACAAACTATGGTTATGGTTAACTGACTGATGGCCTCACAAATATACCCACTTGCTAATCCCTAGAACCCGTGAATGTGATATTTTATGTCAAAAGAGACTTTGCAGATGTCATTAAGTTAAGGATCTTGAGGTGGGAAGATTATCCTAAGTTATCTAGGTGTATCCTGAATATATTGCACAAGTATTTAATGAGAGTAATACAGGATGGCTTAAGTAAAAAAAAAAAAAAAAGATTATGTAACCTTTGGAGAAGTTGGAGGAGGAAAGACAATGCAAAGGATTTTCCCACATAGCCTCTGGGATAAACAGCCCTTGCAACACTTTGATGTTGCTCGGTAAAATTCATTTCAAACTTCTGACTTTCCAAACCCTTAAGAGAATAAGTTGTGTTGTTTAAGTCACTGAGATCAAAGTAGTTTGTTATAGCAGCAAGAAGAAACTAATACAGATACTTCTTTTATCTCCCTTGAGCAGAGAAGCTGAGCCTTTAATTGTGCTTGTGGTACACCTGCATTCCCAAAAGCAGTAGAGTAATAGAATATTAGGCTTTTAGTACTAGGAATAATACTTTGTTTAATAAGTAAATGTAAATTAATTTGTGTGTAATATCTGTTTTTCGAAAATGTTTCCACTACAGTGATCCTCCCAATCCATCTTCAGGTTTAATTTGAGATGATTCTTCATGTTATTTAATGTTTGGAAAATTCTTTACTTTTTCTGTTGAAAACAGTAAAAAATAACTTCTCACTTTTCTCTGACACATTTACTTTTGGACTAGAGTCATGCAAAGGTGTTCCTATCATGAGAACCAATATTTATTAAATTCTTATTCCATGCAAGTCATGAATCTGGAAATATTTTACCATTTAGTCATTCATAAACATGTTTCCTGTCATTCCTTTAACCTCTTTTATAACAAAATGTTCTTTAGCACACCAAGGAAAATGTGAATTAACTCTCATTAATGCTCTCTGACTATCAGCCCTCTGCTCATTGTATATGATAGATAAAAGTAGAAAATCCAAGGTATTAATGTTTTCCTGTGTACCTTCAATCTTTCATACTGTGACTCATGCTCAGGGTATCTTGACTGTTACATTCATCTCAGCTTTAGCTTTTTGCAGTCATCAACAACAAATAATTGAAATTGGAAAAAAGGAAAAAAAAACACAACTGTGTGTGCATGTTCACATCTGCAAAGAAATGTCTAGTTCCTTGATTTGCTCAACATAATAAGATTAGGAATGTAATAAAAGAATTCCAAGCTCCCTAGAGCTGGTAAGTTTGGGGTATTAGGCTAGGAGATTTATGTAAAGATAGAAAATCATATGAGGCTTTTAAAATTTTTTGAATAATAGAAAAGTTGAGAGAAAAGAATAAGGAGATCAGTAATTTTCCCTGATTTACTTCTTAGTTGTATGACGGCTCTTTGGGCTCCCCTGGTGACTCAGAAGGTAAAGAATCTGACTACAGTGCAGGAGGCCCAGGCTCAGTCCCTGGGTCAGAGAGACTCCCTGGAGAAAGGAACGGCTACCCACTCCAGCGTTCTTGCCTGGAGAACTCCATGGACAGAGGAGCCTGGCAGGTTACAGTCCATAGGGTTGCACAGCTAGGCATGACTGAGTGACTAACAATTTCACTTTTTTCAAATATAGATTAGTAATCTATCAACTTTCAGAAATTACCCAAATCAGGATTTGTTGAAAATGTGAGAGACATTATTTGTAAACCTTGTTATTTTATGTCAATTTGAGAATAACACTTACATATGAAATCAAGTGAATTGCATATGAGTAGACCATGAAGTTGCATAAATTAGAATGTCATCCCATATGCTCTTCCCAAACAGTTTAATCTCTAGATTTTTATTACATCCAATAGCAGGAGGTCTAGAAGCATGGCGGTTTTTTTAGCCAAACTAACTTATTTAGTAGCTAAACTATGTTAGCAAGGACCCAGAATTGTTTGTCTTTATTTCAGACTTTTTCATATCATGATGACTGACTTGTTCTAAACTTTAATTCCTCATTGTACAATAATAGTGTCTAAAGATCTATGTAACTGTGTACAGAGTCAAAGACAAGGATGTGGGGGAAACGTTTGTCCTTAAGTGTCATAATTTTTATAAAGGAAGTACATTTTTAAGAAGTCTCCCCAAACTTGGATGTGCATCTATGTATAAAAGTGAGACTTCAGTGTTTTCAGCTTCTACTGTGAAAAGTTGCTTCTTTTAGAAGTAAAGAAACCTAATTGTTAATGAAGAACCACCCAGACAATTTCTGCTATAATGTACTCATTCACTCATCTTGAGACAGCTTACATTTATATCATCTTATTTGCTTACTTTTAAATCACCAGTGCACATTTTAGGTATTGTATACACATGTTAACTGAATGAATGAAAACATACATACATATGTACATGCACATGAGTATATAGGCCAGGGCAGTAGATAGTAGAAACATTATAATTTTGTGACCAGAATCTATCCATGCACTTATTCAAATGAGTCCACAAAATATTTTTGGTAATAACTTGCTGAATCTTGAGATAAGTAGTAGAATATTTTATTTCCCTGAAAGTAGTTTCCTGAGCATCTATTCAATTTTGAACAGATTTGATGGTTTTTAGTGAAGATAATATTTGAAGGAGCAGTGCTTACCACTAAAGCACATGAGTTTTACCTTAAAAATAATGGAATGTGCTGACAGTTGCAAGGCAGATTGATAAATTCAGTGTCCTTATTAATGTGTGAGAGCTGGCTTTTGATTGAGGAAGGCAGCCAGTAGCAGTAAACAGTCTATACTAAGGAAAGAAGTGAGGATCTGCAGCTTATTTGCCCAGGACATGAGTACTTTTTATCCTCCTTAATTCAATTTGGAGTTGATATTCTCTGGAATACCTATGCTCCATTGTGCTATTCTGTATTATTTTTACATATACCTATTTTTTTAATTTCGATAGTATTATTTTCTCATTATAGAAAAATTTCAAAACATTGTCCTAATGTATAAGGCCAAACAAATAAAAACCCAAAACACTTAAAACCCATCACTTGGAACATAGTCAATATTTTGAAATTACTTTTTAAATAAATAAATATTATTTTAAGAAAGAATTTTTTTAAAGTAGCCCAAATCAAAGGTGCTGTGTCATTTTTTTTATATTCAATTTCTATAAGTACTATAAGGTTTATAAAATATTTAACAATTTTTTTTCACTTTTTCTAACTTAGTATTCATACCCTATATTCTTTTCGTATCACTATTTAGTTCCTTTTGTATTAGGCATATCTGCTTTATGATTAATATATGTATATTTTTATAATAATATATAGAGTATATACATTCTGTTTTTTTACATAATCTATAAAGATATCTTTTATTTATAAAATAGAAACAGACTCACAGACTTACAGAACACACTTAAGGTTACAGGATGGAAGAGAAGGAGGGAGGGAAGAGATGGGGAGTTTGGAATTGACATGCACAGGCTGCTATATTTCAAATGGATAGCCAACAAGGACCTTCTGTTGGTTATAACACAGGGAACCCTGCTCAATATTATTTAACAACCTAAATGGGAAAGGAATTTGAAAAACAGTAGATACATGTATATGTATAACTGAATCACTTTGATGTATACCTGAAACTAACACAACATTGTTAATCAACTATATGCCAACATAAAATGAAAAGTTTTAAAACTCTGTATTATGACAAAAAATGTGTATTCCAATTTTAATTTATGCTTTGATGAAGAATGTTTTCTTATTTTTAACTTGTTTTTATTGAACATGTATCCAACTATAAAGTAATTCACTAAAGTTATTGAAAAATTTTAATATTATTGATACCTGATACACATTATTTTTGGATATGGATTTTTACCTTGAATGGAGGATAGTTGACAAAAATATCACATATATTTAAAGAATACAACATGATGATTTGATACACATATACAGTGTGGGATGATTATCAAAATTAAAATAACTAACATCCCTCACCTCATATAGTTAACTATTTTTCTGTGTGTATAAGGGAATGATTTAGATCTACTCTCAACAGTTCTGAATGATACAGTACTCCATTGTTAACCATAGTTCCATATCCCATCAGTGTATTAAGAAAAAAAATGTGTTTAATTAAGGCTTTTTTAGACATATCCAGAGAACTGGGCATTCTCATTAAGGAAACAGGAATAAATGAAAGAGGCTTCTGGTGGCACAGACAGTAAAGAATCTGCCAGTAATGCAAGAGACTCAGGTCTGATCCATAGGTCGGGAAGATCTCCTGGGGAAGGGAATGCCTGCCCACTCCAGTATTCTTGCCTAGAGAATCCCATGGACAGAGGAGCCTGGTGGGCTACAGTCCGTGGGTTTGCAAAGAGCTGAACACAACTGAATGACTTAACACTTAAGTAAATATATTGGTCTGCTGAGGCTGACATAAAGTACCATGGACCCAGTGGCTTAAGATTAGAAATTTATTTTCTCACAGTCTAAAGGCTAGAAAATCTGGGATAAG